ACGCAAGAGGACGTCGGAAAAACGACTAACTTTCGAACGGATGAAATGGGTAAAGATGCCTCACTAGCAAGCTTATCCATTCAAGTGTAATATCGAAGAAGTTTGATACTGTTGCTAAGAAGACTATGAACTCGTTGATTAGTTTTGTAACTGCTAGGATACAGATATGAATGCACACCTCTTCGAAGGAAGATGCACTTCGGAGCAGTACATCTATTGCTACCTTAATAGAAGCTCCTTCCGTTTGAAAGACACTATAGTGGTCTGGTGGCCCAAAACTAGAGTTGATGGAGAGCTTCCGATAGAAGACTTCACCTCCAATCCTACTTCTATATGAATAATTTAAAAGTACCAGTAAAAATCAATTAATAATTTTTCCAAAGATAGCGTCAGTAATTAGTATCTCGCGTTATTTATGTGCGATCGGTTTAGGCTATAAGCGGTAGACTTTTTCAGACAATCTTGTGATTGCTATACACGAATTGCTTGAGCACGAGTCAAAGATGGACATTGCACGAAAGACTGTTTGGAGCCATTCTACCAAGAGTGGATTTAAAAAGAAGCTCGATGCCACAATAATTAGCGAAATAACTTCATGGATCAAATTTAGACCCTACGATTTACTGCTGAATCGCAGCAAAATCGATCTAGAAGTGACCGGCTATAGTCAACTATAAGAACTCGCCAGAAGCTTCGGGAGCTTGATTGCAAAGTTCTTATATGTCCACGTATAGTGCGTTGCCTTGACACTAACTGATTACTACATGTCCCTGCCTTCAAAAAACCGCATGAAAACCGACTGTGCAAATGTGTTTCCAATAGGAAAGAGTGTTTCTATTAGAGTGGCATTATGAAACTACCTTCAAAATGGAAACAAGTTATCGAAAATCAGTGCAAATTTGATCAAAGTCAGATTATTTGAACTACGCTGAATAAAATTTTAATATAAAATAATGGATTCCTCATAGCACATAACTYTTCTAATGGTACACAAGTAATATTTCATAAGGAAAYAMACGCACGATTTTTACGGTCTCGAAWGGACTGCAGAACCTAATGGCAGGTCWTAACCTATGGCATCACATGCGAGCTRGATGGGCATAAGTAATTCAARAGACTAGGTGAAGTATCGATATTAGATATCTACTCACTCTTAAAGTTCGAGCGAACGTTCTGTGTGACGAATGCTCGAGCTCAGATTAAACTGAACGTCTGTCTGGCATTACTGAGAACCAGTATTAATTAAGTATATTTAATTGTTGATAMTTAAATCTGTAATAAAAGCTTTATTTACGAAGCTTATCAGCGGTGCCGAAGAACAAAAACTTTGGCTTTCTTTAAATACTTATATAGAGTATGCATATGTACATTATAGTATATGTATGTATCTAAGTATGTATGTGAGCGCAAATGATTAATAATCCTGTACAAATCGAGTAAAATAATGCGCCAAATGCCGGACATACTTCTRTATATGTATATGCAGAACTCGAAACTGTTTATATATATATGTGTGTATATACATATACACATAATATTCACATATATATTTACTTATGTATTTGTAACTATGTTTGCATGTATTTTCAATCTAGAATTCAGCGAATACTCGTGTGCTTAATGAATTAATTACGTCATGCTTGTGATTCTAGAAATATTTTAAAACCTCAATCGATGTGAAATAGCAACAACGGGAACACAAAGCGGTTTTGGATAATCAAAAAATTGGTGCATAAACAATTTTCAAAATACAAAAAAGAAATAATCGAAAATTATTATTTCGTGGAAAACTTTAAAAATTGACTGTAATAAATGCACAGTAAGTAAATTATTTGTTTTTTAATGTTTTTTATATTTAATTTTGAAATAATATTTATGTGCATATATTGGACGTGAAGCGCGTGTGCGGCCATTTATGGCTCTCCCAGCTTGTGAGAAATGCGAATTACTTGCGTATAACTGAATTTCATTAAATAAAATAATATTTGAATAAGAAAGCCAAGACGTTAGACCAAACACGAGCAATAAAAATAACAACGTTTGTAAGTGAGTATCGACAGAACGCCAAAAACAATGAGCAGCGTCGTTTTGGGAACCAGCAGCAACAAGTGGAGGCGAAAATGCGCCAAAATAAGGCGAAAAAATATGAAAAATAAAATGAATATGTATTCCAATGTGGCACAGAAGCCGGCCCAAAACGATGGCATTCCGATACGGCCAATTAACGTCAGTCGCGCTGCGTTGCGTAGCGTTTGCACGTTCGCTAGGCGGCCGCTAGCTGTCAGGCTGACTGCTTGGCGTGTAGAAAATATTAAATGAAAGCGCAAAAATGTGGGAGCGTATTGTCGATTGTCTAACTGCATACATACAGACATACACAGATTTAAATATACATTTATATGTATTGTATATAAATATATGAAAAGAAATATATTCACATTTTTAGCGGCGCGAAAGTGTAAGCAGTTAGTAGCTGCACACTGAAGGCGCCAGTGCAAATCCGATAAAGGTATATGAGCAAACATGTACATGCATGTACATGATATGACATATATATATATACATATATATATATATATATATTATATTATATATATATACATTTGAATATTTAGTTCTTGGTGATAAAATAAATATCACTCTGTTTTGGCGTCCATTACCGTTATCAGTTTATCTGCGGAAATATATATATRTATGTATATATGCATGTTTGTATACTGTTTACTTAGCYATTAAATCATAATCAAACATTGAGCAGTCATGGTAATAATTGAATGGTTGTCGCAGATGAATAACAAAAGCGGAGGCAGGAAATGCTAAAAACAATTTATAAAATACATTATAGCTTCTATTTCTTCACAAATAAACAAACGTTTCATACAAAGACTTGGTATTGAGCGTTCAGTTTRTATGACAGCTATATGCTATAGTGAGCCGATCATAAAAATTTATTTGTGGATTATAGCACTGTGTTGAGCTATAAGCTATGCCAAGTTATCGTGAGGATAGCTTRTCAAATAAAAAGTTTTTCATACAAGGATTTTAGTTTGATCGATCCATTTGTATGGTAGCTACATATATGCTATAGTGGTCCGATATATAGTGGTGACGATATTGTGACATTGCCTTGGACATTAATCTATGCCAAATTTCTTGAAGATATCTTGTTAAATAAAGAAGTCTTCCATACGAGGACTTGATTTTGACCGACTAGTTTGTATGACAGCTATATGTTTTAGTGATCCGATATGAATATTATGTCCGGATATTATAGCGTTGCCTTGGACATTAATCTATGCCAAATTTCTTGAAGATATCTTGTCAAATAAACAAGTTTTCCATATAAGGACTTGATTTCGTCGATCCATTTGTATGACAACTATGTATATACCATAGTAGTCCGATCGCTGTTCGAGCAAATTAGCAACTTTTCGAAAAAAAAGCACATGGACAAAATTTCAGATCGATATCTCAAACACTAAAACAGGGTCCGCAGTTTTTTCGTAACAAAAAAATTTGCGCGGAAAATTATGCAAGAATTTTCCATAAAAACACGTTTTAGGTACTATCTGATCATAATTAAACCGGACTGCTAATTTTATCTATGGCTCAAATGTATCTTCAAAAAATTACGCAAAAAAAAAATCATAGAAAATGTTACCAAAATGRTTTCCTAAATAAACTTAATCAAGAAAGCGAGAATGACAGAATCAGCAAGTGAGAAAAGTGGTTGTGAAAAGATGTTTTAACAACTTTGACTCGTTCGAGTAGTGAACACACTTCTGTTACAGACATGAAGATAGTAAACGTAAAGATAAAAGYACATTAAACTGACAAACGAGGCTCTCAACTTCTTGCAATGAACGGCACAAAAATTTTGTCTCCGTTCCCACAACAATCGGCTCTACGTAAGCGGAACGGACTCGAATTTGTATCCTGCTAAAGACTGCCAACTCGGCAGARWTCTGCCGCTACAACAACAACAAATTTGCACTGATATTTTAGGGTTTGAAGCATGTTGCCATCAGAATTATAGTTTTTGCGAAAAAGATATTTCAAATGTTCTGAAAAACGAAAATTCACACTCAGTATTGAAAAACCGGTAAAAAAAAATTAAAAATGCGTCCTTTTACCGCTTTGCTTAAATTAAACGTGACTTAAAAAAAATCGTTCTAYTACATTGAAAATAAACTTCAAAGACTAAGGAAAATTCCATCTTTAATTATTTAGTTAAGATAATGAATTTAAATTACATTAGCACACAAAGTGCCGATAAATCCAATAAATTACAAGAAAATATGAAATGTTCAACGATTCAATGACAGCGTCAATTAAATATGTCACAGTCAATTGCCCGCTGGGCTAAGTGATATATGATGCAGAAATTTTCGCAAACCATTTCGTCAACGAAGCCGGTCTCAATTGAGAAAAAGGCAACAAGTGAACAATTAAATTAGTGGCAAGGGCGTAAAGTAATAAAGAGTAATAGTAAGATGTCTTGAAATAAATATGTACATATGTACCTATTTATAATAATGTATGTGTTTATATAGTGCTTCCATGCAAACATACATATGTACATATACATATACTTATATTAAAAAAAAAAAAATAAGCCAAAAACGGCGATAACAGAACCCGTTTCCACGTCAGTTGGGTCCACRTAACTCGGCAAATTTATGCCGCTACAACCACAATAACATAACAGAAGTTTTTATAAATTTTAAATTTTTTTCATTTTTTTTTATATCAATTTCTTTATTACGAGTACTCTAGCTAACTGATAGGTAATTCTTWAGAAATTATAAACAAATGATAATATTTACGTGCGATGAGTCAACGAAGTGGCAAACTGAATTAGAATTTGTACATACATATGTATGAACATTCATATGTGTGCATGTATTTTTTCCTAGACATATGTACATACATATGCACATAGGTTCTTTAACCAGAAACTAAAATTGTTACATTTAATTGAAGATGATATTTTTACTCACCTTATTTTTTACGGCCTGTTTATATGTTGAACTTATGTATGTATGTACTATTAGTTATTATTATTATTTTCCTTTTTTTGCGTAAACTTTGCAGCAATTTGTCAGTTCAACTTTACAGCTTAACTAATTCTTTGTAGCTAATATTAGCAAATCACTACAGCGGCWTTCCACCAGTTTTCATTCATGAAAACTAAACAACAAACACTGATTTCACTTTATATTAGTATATTGCACAAAGAAAATATTGACAGCTGTCACCCACACCTGGTTAATTACTTGTGTACGTAATGTACGTCGCTGTATGGCCAGGTGGCAGGTGGGTGGGTCGGACAGCGTTCAAAAGGCGACTGGAAGAAAATAATAAAAAATATATAAACATTTACATTTTTGGAAAATTTACAGCAAAATTGTTATTAAATTAACCAAAATATTGATAATTAATTAAATTTGAATTTACTATATTCGACGTAATAAATTAACAAATTTTATAAAATCATATTTAATTTTTAATCTAAAAAACTATGTATCATTTCCCTAGACAACAAAATTTAATCATGCGCGGCTTTGTTTCCACTTCAATGGAATGTCAGTTACGTTTTTTATTGTTTCTAAACAAATTGTTTTTGTACACATTCGCATTTCACTTTCTTTACGCTTTACAGCGGCTTTGACGTTGTCGTTTTTTTTATAAAACTTGTTTTTGTTTTTCTATTTTTACATTTTGCTTTCATTATTATTGCTCCCGGTGCAGCAGATTGTACTTTATTAGCCTTATTTCATTATTATCGCGTGCACAAAAGTTTGTATTATAGRTTTCGACTTTATCTTTGGTTTACACTTAGCCGTTGCCCCTCGGGAGGAATGWRTTGCGTTGTCGAGGCGCTTGCAGCTCAATGGAGGAGCGCCYTCGGCGGCGCCGCGTCTTATTGAATTTTCAAAATTTCATAAGGTTTTGCACAGCTGTGATTGCATTGTCACGAATTTTTTTTAGCTTTAATCACACAMATGCATTTTCGGCCACACCGTTGTGCATGTTTGTGCATGAACACTTCACTTCGGAACTTACACGAATTGCACTTCAATTTAGCTTGTTTTCACTATTTATTTGATTGAATATAAAAAATACTTTGACTAAACCGCGTACACATCTAAACGCGTTGAAATTCTTCTCGTTTCTGACAAAAGTTTTCTGTTTTTCCAATTGCTGACATGTTACGGCGCTGCCAGATGTGGCGTAAAGTGTTGCTTAATGAGTGGTTGGGGGAAATATCCAATTGAACAGGCAGCTATTAGGGGATATAGCTGAAGTWCGCGGAGCGCAGCTGTCTTTTTCGTGCATTATATCGAAAATATTTAAAAATACAAGCAATATTTAAAATGAGTTTGCGTTGGAGAGCTATTTTATAACATTTTTAWCGAAATATTATAGTTTACATATTTTTTTAAGCTAATTTAACGCATTGGTTGACAAGTAATTTTTTAAAATGCTTAACAAATTATTTAAATTTATTTAAAAATATCTATTTTCCGCATCCAAAATATCTCAAGTTGTATAAGTGTAAAGCAACTCTGCGTGTTTTCTATTTATTTACTTGCTCACCCATTCATCCTTAATTATTTAATTCTGCTTCGTAAATATTTACGAAAATGGTTTGGCGACATGATAAAAACAAAACGTCAACAAGGACGTATATTATACGTTCTCTGCAAAAGGTAAGAGAGAAATAAAAACAACCGTTAATTCMACACGTGGTGATTACGAAAATATTTACCATAATTGTGTTGTAAATGGGGATTTAAGGTAAATTTCGAGGATTTGTGACTTTGCTTATTTTAGAAGGGCGTACTTACGGTTTATATATTTGATAAGTGAAAATTTTTCTTTGCTATCACCATATAGGTGGCGCAAAACAGCAGGCTTTCAATGACTGAAATATAATGATGAAGTTTGGAAGTCATAAGGAGGAGATTCTATCATGTGATGATTTACAATCGCGATCACATATTGTTAAATATGAAGATAAAGTTATCGTACCAATTCTGGTTAGAGGATATATCAACTGATGAATTTGAAGRGAAATCATTTAATGATCCTATACCTGTAAAAGTGATACCTGACCATCACATCTGAACACATGAAAATCAAATAAGCCAGCATCTGGTGATTCAGAATATCATTCATATGATGATCATATAATGGAAAACATGATGGTCCGGGATGTGATAATCAGAATATATTATTTCTGATAATCAGTTAATCTGTTAATATTCTTTCATGTGACAAAMAATTTTTTTATTGGAGCTTCAAGTATTAGGTCAAATTATGCAGTCTTACCATTTACCTAATTTGTTCGTCTTCGATGGGTTGYCTTTTTTTACAGAATATGGAACGTACATTTCTGAAAATTTTATTGGTGTCCAACAAGAGCTCGAGCAAGGACAAAAACCTACTCAAAGAAAACTAACAAGAGCCTTAGCAAAGACAAAAACCAAAAGCTACTAAAGAAAAACTAAGACTCCTGATATCATTGAAAACCCCCAGCCTGCTTTGATAACCGAAGTTTTCGAAATTATGCAGTATGCTGTCATATTACTTTGCAAAAATATCCCAAAAAGCTTATTTTATAGACTAGGATAAATCATTTAAGATAACAAAAAAAGATCATAGTATCATAAAAGCCATCGGAAATGAAAGATAAAATAACAAACATTAAGGGAAACATAATTTACGAGCGATTTGAGGTCGAAAAGGAAGAGCAGGGATGGGATCGAATTTTTTAGGGTTAAGAATGGTTTATCTAGATTTCCGGCAAAATTACTCGCTTTTATGCCTTGATATTGCCGTTTGTGAATCATTTTTCATTTTTCAGTCGCTTTACACATAGCCGCGAASCTCAAAAGACAATAAGGCGGAAAAGGATATTTGACAACCTAATATATCCTTTTACATACTTATATTTGACTTCAACAGCTGTTATCTATAAAAAAAATATTTCATCCTCCAAGTACCAAGGTTGATTTTCTTCATTGTTCAAGTTATTCAATTTTATATTTATTTTATTTTCCCAAATTGCACATTTTGTCTGCCATCAATCGAGACGACTTTTCGGACAATAAATGATGCAAGCACAATGGCTCATTCATTGTCATTTCACGCAGCTGCTTCCATGGAGTTCAATATATACATACATACTTATAGAATTCGTGTGTAATTGTGAGTGCTTTGAATAGCAGAAAGACAGCAAAAGAAACTAATATCTGCATAAATTTTCCGTGGGGTCAAATATTAAACTATTTGCTATGCAAARCGGTAGTACTGACCTTTTGAGACTAAATTGACCATTACGATTTTTTAGTCTAATTTATTGTATTGCTTTCGTATTGATATCATCCCTACTCCTTCGAMCAGCTACTTAAGAAGACCACTACATTTTTGGAGTACGGAAGCATAGGAACCTCATACAATTTTGCATTAGACACATATTAATATGGACGAGTTGGTAGTGTTTGAAGGCAAAGTCGTAAGGATTCCATGTGCTCTCCGAACTGCTGGAATTAAACTGAGGGCACTTGATATTAACATGCGACCTGAGCAAATTTCGAATGAAAATTCGCTACTTTTGAAAAACCCATATCTGTAAGGTGAATCCAATGAAACTGCGAGCTCCAGAAGAATGCGAAAAAAAAAGAAAATTGTAATTTTTCTGTCCTTAAGGGAACGGAGCAGCCACTATACTGTTTACCTCAATTAGCGTACTCAAGAGAATCTTTAACGCAATCCTCAATTACCCTTACGCATTTAGAGAGTTAGATTGGGGGGATATGTACCACGACTATGGGTCTATTGTGCCCTCAAATTCTTTCACATTGTTTCGTTCGATCTTAAAGCCTTTACAAAACCTAGGATGCTTGAGGGATTGGTGGATTTAATGTGATTTTGTTTCGGCTGCTTGATGCCTAGATGCATCAGCCTCCTTTCAGCCATAGTATCGCATTCTCATAATATATGCGCTGGTATCTCGGTTATCGACCTTGCTAAACGTAAAACAACAGATCACTGATCTCAAGAAGTTGTTGATCTAATATAAGTAATTATGATAATTGTAAAGGGGAGGGGTCATTGATTTCACCAAGAATCATTGAGATCAGAAATGGTTGTTGACTTCACAAAATGTTAATAAAAGGGTCATTAACCTCACCGAAATGGTTATTGACTTCACTAAATATAAAAAAAAAAAGGGGTCGCTGACCTCAAAAATGGTTGTTTAGTGTGCTAAACGTAAACAAAGGCGTCATTCACCTCACCAAATATTTTTGAGATCAGAAATGGTTGATGACTTCGCTAAAATGGTAATTGATCTCGAGTAAGGTTGTTGACTAAATGTAAATGATGTTGCTAAATGCAAGCGAAGGGTTTATGGATTTCACCACATAACACTAAAAATTAACAAAATGGAAGTAAGGTAAGTTGACAAATGGTTGGTGTTAATATATTACCCTCGCATTCCTTAAGTATATTCTAGCTTGCACTCAGCGTGATTAATGTCTGCGTTATTCTTAGTGACACTGCGACTGTCATATATTGCCATAGACAGACATTGTTGCCAACTTCAGCCACAAGATCATTATCTCTCTCAACAAACAAAAGAGAAGACTCTTCCCATCATATTATCCATAATGAAACCGCCACTCAGTTCCGCTAACTAATCTGCAAATTGAACTGTCGGCAGAACGATTTTTTACGATTTCGCCAACAAAAAAAAGCAATAGAGAGCGAGTAAGAGATAAGGAGAGAACGCGACGTAAATGTTTTGTTCGTTTTTGTTTGGTTACTCATACGCCCTGCCCTGTGCCTTGGCAATTTAATGCTCGATTGCATTTGGCGCGCATTGCATATGCCAGTGACAACAATTCAACGATGTAGAACGACCGCAGACGGCGCAGATAACATGAAAATAATCAAAAAAAAAAAAAAAACACAAAGAGAGAAAAATGCATTGAGGTGAGAGCAGCGGCACCAGCAAAGAGATGTGAGAAACTTGACAAGGAAAACTTAGTGAAAGTGCTATCTAAGTTTAGTTCTTGTTGTTTTTTCAAATCTTGTGCTGGATATAGTTTGTATATGTGTGTGCAGTGCAAAACACTTAACCCCAATCGGCTGGAGCGCTGGAGACACTGAAAAAATTCCCCACACCTCTTTGGTTCGCGCGCAGATTTATTGCCACAGAACGCCTTTCCACTTACAAGTGGCATCAACGCGCCCTCACCAACCCCTTGCGAATGCATACGAAGTTCAAAGAAAGCACAACAATAACAATAACAACAACAAATAACGCAAACTTCATGCATTCCACCGGTCGACGGAAACGTATGGGCACGTCGCGTTGCCAACTACTTTAAGATTTCTTTTCCAATTGCAAAGATTTGCTACAACAATCACACACACAAACTTCTCGCTAGTTCGAGGGATAAGCGAGCGAAAGCATATGTGAGTGACATGCTGCCATATGGCATACATTTGTGTGTGTGTGTGTGGCGACTAAACGAAATTCAATTACAACATTGGCGTGCAATGACAACAAGAAGAAGCAAAACAGCCGCGATAGCAGCAGCAACAACAACAAAAAAATATTGAATAAAAGTTTCGCAAATAAAATGCGGCATTTTTCGCCCGATTGAAAGCACATGTGTGTGTGTTTGTGCGTATTTTAAGTGAAAAGCATTGCGACAAGCAATTGCGGCAAAACGATTTCCCCCCCAGCTAAATTGTCACACACACACACACATACGCTTGGAAAACGAAGTCGACAGCACAGCATTGAATGAGAAAACTTTTGCCACAGTGCGTTTCTGCAAATGATGTCGCCGACAGCTACTTCCACACACAYGCACGCACACACGCTTTCACGYKATAGTCAAAAGCRGAAAGASAGTCTTTACTATTGCCAAATTTGACTTGTAAATTTCTTGGCTGTCAATTGATTTCGGTAATGCCACACTCAAATAACTGTAATTTTGTAGGCAATTAGCTTAATACTGGTAAAGGAACGCTAGAAAGACAGCCGCTTAAGAGTTAGATGAGCTCCGCGAAGGGTTATGTCCAAATGAAAGTAGAGGGGTGCTCGCAGAGCCAATTCACTTGATATAAATTAAAAAAAAA